GTTGTCACTACTGAGTTTGAACCATTTGCAAAATAATCAGAATAAACTATATATATATATATCAGTTAGATTGTTTTAATTCTAACGCAATAACAACAGAAGTGTGGGTCTTACTACAAAGCAAAGATTGTAAGAAGGAAAATTATAAATTTATTTTGTGTTACTGGTACTAGTAGTATTACGTACAAATCACACAAGTTTATTATTCTAAATACTGAATCATATTATTATGAACTAAATATAAAATTATTCAAAATAATATAAAAAATCACAAACTCTTTAAGTCTAATTCATGTAGACTTTGCACTCGCCACTCGGTAACTCTTAACCCTAACAATCGTGGGTCAACTTCTTTCCTAAAAAATATATCTATTTTGAGTTAATTTTTCAATATAATGGGATGGAACATTTAATAAACTATTTTTATTTAGTGTAAAAACATGGAATTATATATGAACGTAATTAACGTTAACTTATGTAAAAGTTAATAAATGCTCAGTAACATCAATAATATGCCCTTTGTCCCAAACTATCATCCCACCAAGTTTAGTTGAGACTGGCCGGCAACCTAGGAGGGATGAAGTAAGGGACAAACAAACAGACATACAGATATTTGTGCTTTATAACATAATGTTTTGGGACAATATGGGACCTATTGGTCCATATTGGCTGTTCCATCCTCTAAACTAAGCTAAAACTATTAACAAATAAATTTAAAAAATCTTATAGCCAGCCCTTATCATTTATATATAATGAAATTATAACCTCTTTAGACTTTTATTCAAAGTTCTTTAGATAGAACTTAAAATCCTATTTGCCCTACCACTAGCAACAACACACTGATTGGATGGTTTTTGGAGGCTGATCAACTATTACACCAAGACCATTTTCTTTCATGACACTGTTATGGTTATTCCCATTCAAATTATACTTATAATTCAAATTATGATAATCCACATGCAATATCTTGCATTTATTATCATTAAAATCCATTTGCCATTTCTTTACCCAACTCATTAAAGGATCTAAATCCTTTTGTAAATCAGCAGCATCCTTTTCACAGCCAGCAACACCGAAGACCTTAATATCATCTGCAAATTTAAGTAATTTATTGACCATTCCTTCATCTATGTCATTGATGTAAATAAAAAAAAAGAGCAAAAGTCCTAAGACTGAGCCCTGAGGTACCCCACTTGTGACATTAATCCAATTTGAATGAACTTTATTTGTAACAGCCCCCTGCTTTCTTCATCCAGCCACTTTTCTATTCAATTTGCTAACTTATCCCCCACACCTATAGAGATAAATTTTTACAAGCCTTTTATGTGGCACCTTGTCAAATGCTTTCTGAAAATCCAGATACACCAAATCTACACCCTTACCCTCATCTACATAAGCAGTAACCTTTTCAAAGAATGTCAAAAGATTTGTAAGGCAAGATTTCCCTTAGTGAAACCATGTTGACTCTCCAATAAAATGATAAACTTTATTAAATGACTTTGCAAAGCATCTTCTAACAGACTTTCCCAAACTTTTCCCACATCTGATGTAAGACTAATGGGTCTGTAATTATTGGAATAATTTTTATCACCTCCATTGAAAAGAGGAGTTACATTTAGCTATCTTCCAATCCTCTGGTACCTGTCCACTATTCAAGGACTGACAAAAAATAGTAGTAAATGGCTCACATATCCAATCTTTAATCTCCTTCAAAACCCTTGGGGAAATATTATCTGAGCCTTATTGTTCTTTGAACTTCCCAATTTTTTCTTAGCCAGCTTAGGATTAATGCAGTCTTCTTGTTTCCATCTATCAACTGTTCAAGATGTGAAATACTGCTTAAATCTTTGTCAGTAAAAACCGAGGAAAAAGCAAAATTTAATATCCCAGTCATCTCATAATCATCAGATACGAGCCTTCCTTTATTATCCCTCAAGAGTCCTACCCCATCCTAACATTTTGTTTACCCTTAGTGTATTTAAATAAATTCTTACTGTTAATTTTTACATTTTCAGACAACCTTTTTGATGTTCTAATTTCCTGTCATACCAATCAATTTAAGTTTCTTATATTTGTGATGCTTTTCTTTAATTTCATCTCTTAAACTTTTTGTTAAACAACCTATTTTTTTACTTGCAGCTACCCTATTCTTTCTATAAAAAATATTTATCTTGAATATTTAAAGATTTTTCTTTAAAAAAATTTCCAAAGCTGATCAGTCTCCAAATATTCAACTGTCCAATTCACGACAAATAATTCTTGTTGTATCCCTTCAAAATTTGCTTTTTTAAAATTTGTAACCAAAATATCATTAATCTCCATATGCAGCAAAACAGTGACCCTAATAGAGCAATGATCACTAGCACCCAGATGTTCCCCAATTTCCACCCTCTTGATCATTTCTATATATGAAGTTAACAATTAATCTAAAATAGTATTGTTTCAAGTAGGTTCCTTGACTAATTGGTAAAGAAAGCCATCTTGAACAGCATTTCCCAATCTATATGCCTGATGACCTACTTTCAATTCATCCCCACAGTTAATTCTGGGCAGTATCCCTGATAATACTGATACATTCAAACCCTTATAATCTATTTTACTGCTATATAAGCCAGCATACAGATGCTTGACCATGATAAAGAATTATTTACCACCTTTGGCAGATACTGATAGAGGCAAAATTTTATCAGTACTGTACTGATTGTGACAAAAATTATCTGGAACATTGTCTAACTTAAAATACAGTTCTGTACATATGAATATATATTTTGATTCAAGATATGTTTTAAGGAAATCTAACTAACAACACGTACTAGTGACTTTACAAAGCTGTCCTATCATATCAAAGGCCATCATAAAGAAACTGGTACATATACAACACACAAAATAATAACTACAAAAAAATGAGCAGCAAATACTGAAGTGAATTTTTTACTATACAAATTTTACAAACCATGTAAAATAACACTGTTACAAAAGACACAATTTTTGTAATGATTAAAAAAATAGGGTAGTTTCACATTCAGAAGTGGCATTGCCTACTTAATTATGTTCTATATATGTATAGTTTTTCTTGTTTAGATAAGTAATTGGGAACTATCTGATGTACAGTTTCATCTGTTAAGTAAGTTGGAACTTTCTGATGTACAGTTTTACCTGTTAAGATAAGTAATTTGGAACTATCTGATGTACAGTTTTACCTGTTAAGATAAGTAACTTGGAACTACCTAATGTACAGTTTTCTTGTTAAGATAAGTAATTTGGAACTATCTGATGTACAGTTTTACCTGTTAAGATAAGTAATTTGGAACTATCTGATGTACAGTTTTACCTGTAAAGATAAATAATTTAGAACTATCTGATGTACAGTTTTACCTGTTAAGATAAATAATTTGGAACTATCTGATGTACAGTTTTACCTGTTAAGATAAGTAATTTGGAACTATCTGATGTACAGTTTTACCTGTTAAGATAAGTAATTTGGAACTTTCTGATGTACAGTTTTACCTGTTAAGATAAGTAATTTGGAA